AGCTTCAGCCCTTCCTTCCTTCCTTCCTTCCTCCCACCCCACCCCAGTTGCAAAGGAATAATTATCCTTCCCTACCCTCTAGGGCTGTTGTAACGCTGACCGCCCCCAAAGTAGTCAAGGCTCTGCCTTCCAGATCAGCCCCCACAATCCCTTACGGTTGAAAGACTTTCTCCCGGTTTTGATTTTGGTGAGGAACCCCCTGGGTGCTTCCTCCCTCTTCAGATGTCTCCACTTCCTCCTCCTCCTTTCCGCCCCAGGCGCGATTCTGGCCTTCCCCTGGGTCAGGCGGACCCAAAATATTTGCCTAGGAGAAAAAGGGGAGAAGGGGAGGCGTGGAGCCTTCTCCATCTGCGCTTGAAGAGCCCGGTTGAACCCGGGGTCGGATCTGGCGGAAGGCAGCTTCCAACGCTCCCAGGCCGGTGACGCATCATAGCACTCACACTTGTGTGCCTCCTCCTCGGCTGCTGTCCAACCCTGCAGGGCTGGCCAGCATGGGGAACAAGAACCACTTGGAAAGATCTTTCGGGAAGGTCCAAAAGAGTTTTTGGGAAGGTCTTTCTTGCTCCGACAGGAAGCCCCCCAAATCTTGAAAGCGATGATCCCGCACAACTTACAGTACACCTCGTGTGATTGCTCTGAGTGTCTTCCTCTTGCAAAATTTAATTTAATGGCTTAAAATCAGGTTATTTATTTTATCCACCCCAGCACTAAGGTGCCTCCTTTACACCCTTTTCTGCTCCTCCAGGGTCGGTTAGATGTTCCATCACAGCGAGATCGGCTAAAGTGGCATAAAAAGGTGTCCGGAAACAAAGGAAAACTTACATCCTCAGGTCCATTTCCATAGCGTTGTTCAAGCTGGAATGCTTCGGTCAGTCGCTACTTTCTCACTCGCACACTCTCCATCTCATGCACATCCATGTGCACTCACAGATCCAACGACCGAAGGAGCTGATGTCATAAAGAGACGTTCCGTCCACCTGGGTCAGCATCTGGCTCCGCACGGTGGCCGACTGCAAGGCAGGAGGGCAGCCCGAAGGCAACAGACCTCCCTCGGCGCTGTCTTTGGGCAACTGGCAGTCTGTGGTAGACTATCCTTGGAACTGGAAGCTTTATTTTAAGTTATTAAATTAAATATAAAAATCAGTGGTTTCACTAAAGCCTCTTTGGTATTGTAGAGGGAAGAGGGAATGGCCTTGAAGGACAGAGGAAGAGCTGCTACCAAGGCAATGGTCAGATAAGAGGGGCTTGAGCCCAGGCCAAGAAAGTAACCTGAGAAAACGCTTCAGATATGACCGTCCCTAATTTACGCAAAGTTAAAAGGGGGAGGGGGAAGCACATTCAGATTTGCAAGATCGATGTCAGCCCAAGGTAGAACAGACTAAGAAACGAATGCCATATACTTTTATTGTAAAGCTGTAGAAACAGAATCTTTCAAGTCGGAATGTGCTTCCTCCTCCCTCCCTTTATCTTCGTATGAATTAGGGAGGGGTTTGTCTGAGATGTTTACTCACATTACATTCTTGTCTCGGATTCAGGCCCCACTTATCTGACGAATGCCTTGGTAGTGCCTCTTCCTCCTGTCCACCAAGGCCTTCCCTTCCTCCCTCTACAGGTATAGTGGCAAAGTTGTTGGACTAGAAACTGGGGAGGCTGTGAGTTCTAGTTCTGCTTTAGGCATGAAAGCCAGCTTGGGCCAGCTCCTCTTTCTCAGCTCAACCCACCTCACAGGGTGGTTGTTGGGGGGGGGAATAGGAGGCAGGAGCATTATACCCACTGCCTTGAGTTGTACAAATAAAGATGGGATACAAACCTAATAATACATATTTTTAATGTATAGAATGTATAGGCTATAGAAATTGCATATTATTAAAAGAACCATTCCTGGCCCACTTGCTCAGCAACTCCTAAGTATGTTCACCGTCTCAGTGACTAATTCTTTCTTCTCTATAAAATTTTTTCATTCTCCTTTATAGATCAGTGGTTGTCCCCAAGTCTTATGGCAGCAAAATCCACTAATTCCAGCCCAGCTCGTTGTCATCCTGCTGCATATAATTCTGAAAAGGCCCATGCAATCCAAAATATTGAGAGTGCATTTTTGGGGCACCTCCTTTTCAAAGCCTAAGAAATACCAAGGGAACCGACCCCAAGCATGGTGGGGCCAAAGGTGGCGCAGTTGCGCCAAACAGGTGGGAAGAAATTGGTGGAGAGCTGGAATGTGAACTCAGAGTAATTGTATACTCCTGTCCTTTCCAATGCAAATCGAATAATTGTATTTATCTTTTCCGTATTGGCTGTGTTGCACCTTTACAAAGGGAGTTTCTTCCTGTGTCTAGAATACTAGTTTTGAATTGATTTTAATGGTCATGCCTGAAGCAGAGGCAGTAAATTCAAGGGTGTGTAACATCCTTCGTCCATCAAATACAGGAACTATATTCCGTCATCGCCCATACAGCAGAACGATTACCGTTGCCTTTCAAGGAATGTGTCTGTAATGTTTGCACACCGCGAAACACCTTTGTCCTTCTTGGTGGTTATCTTGCTTTGTCAATTGTAACAGAATTCTTTCAAAACATATTAACTTATATTTGCCGCCCAGAGTCACTTGGACTGAGATGGGCGGCTATAGAAATTGCATAAATACGTAAATAAATGCGTGTCCAAACTGTCCTTGATTAACGTTCTGTAAAAGACTTATTCATCTAGGCCAATGTTTTTCAACTTTGGCAACTTGAAGATGGGTGGACTTCAATTCCCAGAATTCCCCAGCCAGCGTGCTCTAGGATGGGTGGACTTCAATTCCCAGAATTCCCCAGCCAGCGTGCTCTAGGATGGGTGGACTTCAATTCCCAGAATTCCCCAGCCAGCGTGCTCTAGGATGGGTGGACTTCAATTCCCAGAATTCCCCAGCCAGCGTGCTCTAGGATGGGTGGACTTCGGTTCCCAGAATTCCCCAGCCAGCAGCCCCCTTCTGAGACGCTTCCCACATCCCCTCTCCTTCTGTGGGCTGAGTTGTCTTTTGCAGGGTGGTTATCCCATCCGCGGCTCTTCCTCGTGTCTCCCAAAGCCATTCCCACAGGCCATTACATCCAGCTCCCATAATCCCCAGCCAACATTTCTCATTTGCTCAGCAGCTAAAAGAATGCAGAAAAAGTGACCAGACAATGTGGGATTCCGTCTTAAACATCAGCCACCAAGCGCATTTCTCTGTTGAATGGATTGTGACAGAAAGAAGAGTCCAGATGAATCACTCAAGGGGACTTTCCCCGAAGAACGCTTTCGGGTGCACGGGGCACCCTCAGTAGCTCCAGGGTGGCCATGTTCACATAAGACATTTCACTGCATCAGGAGAGGACCTAATGGTGGACTTCCAGTGAGGATTCATGGAGAACTAGGTGTCTCAAAAGGAGTAGACGGCATCGTGGTGAGATCAGTGGCCAGACTAGATGTATGAGAAAGAAGAGGCTTTTTTCCCCTAAATCAGTGTTGTCCAAACGTGGCCACTTTAAGAGGAGTGGACTTCAACA